GTGCAATCTGACCAGTTAGTTCAGTATTGGTGAGTCAATGTATTACATGACTTTTCTTCCCATCACCATGCCCCAAGATATTAGCAGTTGTCAGTCAAACAAAGCAGTGGCAGAAACCTCCAGTCTTATGCTGTGTCTGTTAGATTTTCAGCTGGGAAATACCAGTATTTCCCCCCGGCTGCATTTTGGAAGGTGGGCCCCTGGATATGTTCCACTTTCCTTTATGTTTTTGTGCTGCCCAAGGGCAACATTTGCCTGAAGAGTTCCTACTGTTTGGCTAATATTTTGCATCTTGCTTCTTTGCTTGTGCTCTGTCTGGCAGGGGGATATTGAGCTCATACTGAAAGCTGTGACTGGACACAACTTTTGAGGCGTGAATTTTACTGTGTTTAGATATTTAAAAGCTGATGTTTCTTGCAACAATGACAGCTCTTCTGACTATGTTTTCTATTCATAATTTTCAAGTGAATATGAAGCCTCCCTCCTCCCCCAAGTCTTCTCTTTCTACTTGCGCCTGTCTTCTTCTTCCACGGTATTCTGAAGAAACACTGTCAAGTAGTTCTCTGCAATCAACCTTTTATGGCTGCATTGCCATTGAAGAAGTTGTCTTCGTTTTGACAGAAAAAGTCAGAATATGGTTTGTAAGCTATAGTAATGCAGACATTTTCTATTACAGTTAACCTTTGCTCTTCAGTTAGAGCTGTATCTCAAACCTAAGCCAAGGGTCAGAGATAAAACATCTCTAGGTTTTTTTCCACCTCTTAAACTGAGTTGCATCAGTGAACCATTAACTTAGTAGATTATTTACTGTTACCTTTATGGAAAAAAATGCATACTGTACTTTTCCTGCATTGCTCAGGTTTGATTTATGTATGGCCTCAGCTCTATAGGTCCCTCACTGAGGCAGGGCGTTCATACCATGGCAAAATAAACAGGCAGTTGAAACTTGCCTGAACAGTAGTCAAAACTTACAGTAATTCACATACTTTTGTCCTCATATCGGTCTATTTAACATGTTGCACTAACAGTCCTGGTTTGCACATGGGAAAAAATAATCACAGCAACTTCAGCCTTGGAGAAGTGTTAGCCTCAAGTTAAACTGCAAAGGCCAGGATCTGAGTTGTGCCCAGATCCTATGGGGAGCCATAGCCAATTAATTATAACTCCCTGATCTGAGGACAGGTTATGAGCTGGCTCCAGCACTGATTCGAGCAATTTTAGAGAAGAGATTACAGCATCTTGGGAGCTGCTCTAATAGGGACCAGCTGGCAGTGGCCACTGGGGCTTGCCAGAGCACATCTTGTGTTGCACTACACCCTTCTGTGCTCTTGCTGTGGCCTTGCAGGGGGCTGCAGGAACTGGTTGCACCAACCCTCTGGCAGGATAAAGTATCCCGGCTGAAAATGAGAGTTCTTTCAAAGGAGACAGCATACGGAAGTGGGGAGGCCATGGCTGACTAAATCCTCATCCTCCCATTGGGCAGCTCAGCAGGAAGAGATAACAAAACAGGAGACATCCGCTGGCAGTGACCAGCTTTTCTGCTCTCTGACTAGCAAATTGAGCCTTCCTGGCATGATGATTTTCCACTTCCTCACAGTCTCAGCAGCCTATCTTTGAGAGTCAGATTTTACAGTAATTTTTGGGAGGTGAACTTCCCTATTTCTTCTCCTGCACACTCCTCTTTGCTGTTGCCAAACGTTATCTCCCCTCCCAGCATGCTGGAGCTCCCCAAAGCAAAGGGAGTGGAGTGTGAGGAAACCAAGGGATTTGCCTGACTCAGCTTCATTTGGTCTTTCACTTAACAGAGAAACAAATGTGGTATCCCCCTCCGCTCCCTATCAACGGGGCCCGTGTGTGTAGGTCAGGCGTGTGGAGCTGGATTTTCCAATAGTTGGGAAAGAGCTTAATCCTTAAGAGGGGATTCAGGTAGGGAGGTGAGGAATAAAAGGAGTAAGTTCTTGATGTCCTTACAGTGAAAGCCAGGAGAGAGGTGGTTCACCCAGCTCTGCTAGTAGCCTTCTACAGATGCCTTTTAAAGGAGGTCAGAGCTCCTAGAGAAGGGCACTACAAGCCAGCTACAGATGATGTTGTCTACATTGACTTCAGCTGATTTCTTGATACAGCAGGCTTTACTGCTTCTTTCATTCCGTGTTGTGGGGAATGATGGGCTTAATCTACTTTGACAAGTAAGTTCAGCTCTGCATAGCATTGCTGCTTTGCAAACCGGGATAGCTGGGTCTGACAGTCATGTTAGGGGTGCAGGGCAGAAACTTGACTCTTCTGCTCTGTAGCACATGGTCTGATGATGCTGCAGAGACTCTGCATGCTCGGAGATCCCCCAAAGGGCTCCAAAGCAGGCTCCCCGTGGCAGTGAACAAATCTGGGGACAGCACTGCCAGCTGATGTGCTGCTACATCTAGCATGGCAAAAGTGGCACAATTTCTGGGGCAGAGGGGAAAGAGAGGACAAATAGAGAAAATGTTGGGATCTCACTGTTTTCCTACCACACACAGCTGCCTTAGGCATATGGCTGCTGTGCAATGTGCAGTACTGTTCAGCTTGAGCCTGAGGTATCCAACCATGTCAGGGCTGCCACCACTCTGCCTTTAAGCACCAGATTATACCACAGAGCCCAGAGGCTGATGACAAACTAAATTTTGGCTGCTTTCCTTCCAGTACCCAAGAGCACACCACCCTTCTGGGTACAAGTCCAAGATTTCACATCTCTCAGCTGCAATGTTTTCTTGTCCTCTGGCCTTTGACCAGATGGTGCTGCCCAGACCACTCAGCAGTTGAGCTCATGCCCTTATGCCCTTCAAACATCCCAGTACCCCTGGGATGCTCAGGACACACAGTAACCCCCCATGCAGAGCCCATCTCTCTCAGCCTGCACGATCAGGACATAGGCACACACAGGTAGGACACCCCTTCCCATGTCCCCCCAGCAGCCCTCTTCATCCCCACATACTCTGCCACTCCCCATCTGCCACTTCTGGCACTACCCAAATGCAATGCGGCTTCAGATGCTCCTTTCAGACAGCTTAAGAAGGTTGAATGGAAGTTTATAATCTGAGACTAACTCAAAGTATTATATATTTATTTTCCCTACCCCTTCCAAAGGAGAATATTTGTATCTGCACCTTACTGTACGGGAGAAGAAATTGTCCTCTCAAATACCAGTCCCCTTTGGCCACCCTGAGTTGTGCATGGAGATGTAGTAGGTGAGGTAGAGGAAGTGCCTGAGAAGCCAGACAAAAGCTCTTTGAGTGCATGAGACCCTCATTCAATCTAGCTTGTTCTTAGTCAAACTCAGAAGTCCAATTTGTGTCATGGATGTAACATACTTCTCTTTTTCCTGGCCTAGATGCTCTTCACTCAATCTAAAACCACCCATATCAGTGAATCTTAACCTAGTTGAGTGCTACAGAAAATTAGGTTAGCATAATTTTACGTATCCTTAAATCAGTCACTGAATCAGCTTTAAACTTGTTTTAATTAGAACAGTGAGTCTTTGTGCATGGTTGATGTATTTGGGTCCTAGCTGCAACATGATTCTGTATTTCAGCCCTGACCTTGATTTTGTTCCTTTCTAAAGACTCTTCTGGATGTAACACTCTGTGTGTGCAGCACAGCTTATGGTAGGGTCATGGGGGAAACAGCTCAGTCCTATCCTTCATGCTCACATTGTTCATAATCAGTGTCAAGATAACAATCTGCTCATGTTTTTCCAAAGGAATGAAGCTATAATTTTCCTCTGCATGATTTTAGCTGTGAAGAGGACTTTGTTTTGCCCCTTATTACAATAGACAATTGCAGGGTTGAGCAAGATGATGAAAACTTTGAGGTTAAGTAAGGTCAGGAAGAGAAAGCCTGTGTGGCTTTACGTGTGCTTAACAGGTGAATCTGAAGTACCTTTATCCTACTCTGAAAGAAATGAAGAATTCAATCCCATGCCTTAAAAGCTTCCCATTATTTCCATTATTATTGTTTTACGTTTTCTTCTATTCTGTGTCTCAGAGTGTGTGTTTTAGCTGCTGGTTGCTCTCTCTAGTGAATGTACAATGGTATGAATAAACCTTCAACTGTAGGACAGAACTGAGAGATGCAGTAAAAGCAACATGTGTATGGGCAGCTCTCTGTGGTAGTGCTTTTCTCTGACAGCTCAGTTCCCTGGGGTGCATGTGTAAGAAGTCCCTGAGACTCCAGGGAGAAAGGCAGACTATTCTTTGGGAAATTATTCCTGTGCAGGATTCATGGCAGACCTAGACTTTTTTCAGACTTTTTATTTCAGAATTTATGAAGGGAGAACACTGTTTTTCAGGAAATCGGATGTTTCATGTTGACCCTCACCTCCCACAGGGGATCAGGTTGATTGTATTAATTGCTCAGACTCTGCACATAGCAAACTCTGTCTGTGTACTACAAACAAGCAAACCTATGCTCTTTAAAGCTCTGCCTTATTGTATTCATTGGCATTCAAAAGAGTGAGGATGTGAGTCTGCACTGAAAACGCAGAGACAAATTCTGAACACAGCAGTTTTCTTCTGTGGGTTTAGAGCTACTCTCTTTCATAACCCAGCAGTTCCAAAGAAAGAAGTCCGTATATTTTACCCAACAAGATAAAAAACACAGAGATTAAAGATTTGCACAGGATTCAGTCCTCTGGAGTTTTGCTTTAGGGACCACAGTGGTCTTTCTCCATGTCAAAGCCAGGAGCAGTGCACATCACCCTTCAAATACCTTCTCCTAAATCGATGTCATTTTTCCTTTTGGAGGCTGGTAAATACCAGTGGTTCTGAATTTTTATCCTCTGCTGCAATTTCTGTAGGTTTTCAACTGTGAAAACTTTATAATTTCTAAGCTCACTATTGCTCTAAGTTACTCACTGTCTGTCTTTAAAAATAGTTTCACTTATGCATTGCTCAATCAATGTTATTCTTAAATTCTTCTATTTTTGGAGCTGGAATTTTAGACTTTGAAGATGGGTCTGAGTAGTGGCCAGTGCTAAGAACCAGTGAGCTTGAACATCCATGGAAAGGGAGAACGACTGGGTGACTCTTGTGTTTGCTCTGCCGGCCAGACCTTGAAATGAGCAAGCTCACTTGTGCTCCAAAAGCAGGCCTAGGTCCAGTGTTAAAGGCTGAGCACCAGCACTGTAGTCACACCAAATCACCTGAAAACGTGAGTGGATTGGCTTGGATTTCTCAATACATAGGTACGTTTTTCTACTAGCTTCCATTTTTCCTAGGCTTGGAACTGGAAATATGGCAGAAGTGGTAATTTAGTGTGAACAGAATGGTGGGAAGCCTCAGCCTGTTTGTGTAAAGGCCATTCAGCTTGCCTGTGCCTGCTGTGGGAGGCTTGTGTGCAGGTTGAAGATTTAAATGGAAAAGTCCTTTTATGTGTGTGTACTACGTCTGGGTAAAATGCAGGATGGGCATGAACGAAGTGCATGCCCTTGTATGCATGTCTACTGCTGCTTCCAGTCCCAGGGGTCGTGTCATTTAAAGTTTAAAATGGTTAATAATGTTTTCTATTTTATTTTTGTATAAATAAGGAAGTGCCATGCACAGCCATCTTTACAGTCAGCCATTTTCAGTTCCCCTTTTTGCCTGATCTGTCCTTGGACACAAGATCTCCTGTGAGTGTATGCAGCTCAGAAGCAATCCATGGTCACTTCAGAGGCCATATGAGTCATTTAGTCAACCAGATTTTACTGGAAGACACTGTTCTGATTTCAGTAACAGAAGTATGCAAATAATGGAAAAAACACAGATTTGAAACATATCCTTTTTAGTTTGATTAACAGCTACTTTTCTATTGCTTTCACAAAATACTTCCAAGTAATTCTTTGCAGTTCCTTAGTTTTCATTTTTTTTACTCCTGATTTGTTGGTACAGCTCTGATATGAGTATGTTTGAAATCAGCATGTTAGGCAATGGTAGGATCACATCTATTACAGTAGAGAAAATCATGACTCTAGATGTAGTGATAGGGGATAGAGTATCAAATGATGCTGAAAGATAAACTTCACCACAGCTGGTGCAGGAAGACAACTGCTCAGTCACAGAACAGTTGAGAAGAATGGCTAGGAAACAGGTCTTCAGTGACTGAATTCTTCTCACTGCTTGCATGATTTTAGAGCTACTTCAGCTACTTTAATAGACCCCTGTTTGTGGAATTCTTTGGCACAGGGCAGGTTGTGCCCTGTTTTACTGAGATCCACATAATGTGTTTGTCCTATACTGCTGATACTGAAAAGCACCCTGCCCTCAGGATACAGGCCAATAATCCTTCATTTAAAATCAAAGGTCCCAGGCAGGAGAAGGGGAAGTGAGGTCATGAAAAATGACCACTGATTGACTTGAATTCCAGTGAATTCAGCTGCATTAGCTTAATGCTTCCTTTGAGGGAAAGTATGCACCATATCGGCAATGTGTTGGACTTTCGAGGGGCATTCAGTTGCACAAGATGAGACCTACTGCTTACCTCTTGGTAGCATTACTGTATTGCTAATAGCATGACTACTTCTGTTCATTTACTAGAGATCCAGATTTTTTTATCTAAAAATCATGGATTCAAACCCAGTGAATAAACCATCCGGTGTTTCCTCTGCAGACTGCATAAATAATCAATAATGTTAATCATGTGAACAGATGCTGAAAGATTTGGGTTTTCTTGCTCCAGCAGTTAAAAGATTCCTTATTAGCATGGCAAAGTGATTTTATAATGTCTTTATCAGCTCTCAGAGGGATATAAACTGGTCTTCCCATGCGTGGTGAGCATACCTGCCTACAGTGGCTGTATCAACATTGTGCCTATTGAACATCCCGTTGACTTTTACTTGTTAAAGTATGTGCAGACTAGTTGTGATTTTTTCCCAGCTTTTGGTAATTATGGGCTAACCTCACTCAAGTCGAGCTAAATTGAGTCCTGGCTATATTTCTCTCTGTATGTGTTGTAATAATCACTTCCTCCTCCCCTTGTCCATCATGTCTCCTCGCAGCATTGTCCATTGGCCTCAGCTGCTCTAGATCCCATTTATGGCAGCTTTGCAACTCACTGACAGACTGGTGCAGCAGCAGGCTGAGAAAATGTGGCAGAACCCAGAAGAGAGAAACCAGGTTTACTTAATCAGTTTCCAACTTTAATACATCTAAGATCAAATATAGTTAAGAAAACCCAGGCAACACAACCCACGCAGAAGACTCTCGGTACCAAAATAGTTTGCCAGGTTCTGGTCATTTCTAGTAGCAAAACCAGATCTATCAGCCTCTGACTAAACTGGCAATAAACGATTAATGCAAGGGCTGAATGTGGCTATATGGTGTCTTTCACAAGGATGGAAAGTACAGTTTTCCTTAAAAATGTTTCTATTTCATTTTTAACATTTTACATGTGTTTTCTCCATCAGTTTGGGTCCAGAATTCCATTTGAAAGGGTGCATCTGAAAAAGATGCTCTTTAACTTTGTTAACTTTTACAGGGTTTTAAAAACCTTCCCAAAGCAGTAGCCACTGATAAGCAGCACCTATGCAAATGAAGTACAGACCAGTTTAAAGTTGCACTGGTTATGTTTCCATTGGTTATACAACCCATTTCAATCTACAGAAGCTCTGTGTTCATTAGCAATTGCTGCTCAAGTCAACCACAGTAGCCTGAATTTCAGATGCCAGAAGTCAAACCACACTCAGACTTGAGAACAGAAAGTACAACGCATAGAGAGGTGTTTTGAAACGCTGTTTTACTGAACTTTTCACAGCAGTGAAAATGATGTAATCACTTAAGGAGTTTGAGGTACAGCATGTCAGTTGCTGAAATGCTGAAAATTAAACCACTCACACTCGTTTCCACAGACTGGGAAACTGAGGTGCAGAAAAGTGAAATTACTTGGCTGGAAGCACAGTAGCCTCTAGCAGGCCAGGACCATATCCCAGTTGTCCAAGGCCCAGTGCTGGTGTGAATTGGGAAAGGGTTGCTGCTTTCTGTGCAGCATTATGTCAATAATAATTGCAGTCTGTTGCCATTTTTCTGGTCTTTCTCAGTGGGGAGGGCTGTATGAAATAGCTGTTTCCCTTGGTGGGTGACAGTTTTCCTTACTGCTCACTAGGAGAGATGAGTTACCAGAAGCGCCCTACAGAGAGAACAGTACTTGTTGCTGGGAAGTTACACATTCAAGTATCCAAGCCCCAAACCACAATGTACTATTTGCTTTAGACAGTCATGCGATAGCGCGTTTCTTTCTGTTGTAAGCTGTTAAAAATAAAACAAGGATGCAGAAAATAAATGTTAGAACAGAAGGAGCGCCCTGACTTTCCACATAGCTTAAACAGCAGGGTGGAAGCCCTCGAAGCCCAACAAAAATTTAATTTAGGGAACAACTTCTTTTTGCTCGAACTTAAAGAAATCATCACACAATTTCCCTACCTTCTTAGAATTCATTTTAAAATCAGCCTTTTTCTGCATGTCATGTTGGATGATGATGGATGACTAGGAAGCAGCTATGCAAATCTATACTTGGCTCACGTCTCCTGTTACCACCTAACTTTTGGTTTGGTTAGAAGTTGAGCTTATGGTGGGTACTGTATCATTGGGCTTGATCTGCAAGTTCTTCAGGGCAGGGGGACAGAGTTCATTGTAATTCAAGTGAAGTATGGTGGCTAAGGGCAATTGATGGTGAACCATGTGTTCATTTGTATTCGTGCTTTATGGGACTTCTACAGTCCTGGACAGCTATATACTAAAAGCATAGAGTTCTTCAGTTAAAGTTTTGTGATTCAAACAGCCTGAAAGACTTCTGCCATCTGTGTACTGGAGACAGGGAAGGAGAGATGGGCAGCAGAAGGGACATAGAAGCTACATTTTCCCTAGGATTAAAATACCTCCTCTTTGGGTATTGTAAAATAAAACATGTCTAGTGCTGGTTCCCAGTAAGAATGCAATACAGTGAATGGTTTTCAGTAATTCAAAATAGGGATGATTGCCACTGATTAGCTCCTGGCCTCAGCACAGAAGCTGACTCCTCAGGGTAACAGCTGTACACTGTAGGTACTGTTTGTTTTGTATATTGTAGGTACACATCTGAAACCAGGCAGGTTACCTCCTCGTGGGGTTTGTATGGACACATTTCCAAGGCAAGTGACTGAAAAGCATCTTGCTCCAAAACAGGCACTTAAAGGGTTTCATGCTGTCTGAGCAGATGGAAACTGCCACTGCTACCACTTCTGCTCTGTTGGACAGAGCGCGTCGATCTGTGCAGGGAGAGAAACTACTATCTATTATCACCATGACTTACATGTGACCGAGAGGACGGATGCTGCAGCCCAGCAGGTGCAGAAGATTCCACGACGTGTTATCTCTAGCCACGGACTGTCCTGTTTCCAGGAACACTCTTCTGATGGAGGAGATAAGAGCCTGCCAGTAACTTCTCTTATGTGAAGGAGCCAGCAAAAGTGTCTTCATCAAAATGGCTTTGTAATTGCATTAGTTTCTAAGTCATGCAGAAGGAAATACAGATACAGCTGTATGTCATATCCTACTTTTTAATATATTCTTTTTAGGTAATTGTATCATCTTTGCCATGTAGCTGATAAGTGCCCAAGGAAATGGCACATAACCAGATTTGTCCAGCAAATGCAAAGGAGCAAACCCACTGAGTCCAGCTGGATATAGCAGGTGTGAAGTTGGTCACTTTTTCTCAGGGCTGAAAGGATCAGCTCCCAACATTCCAATGTGCACATGATTTGAATATTTTTTTAGAACAGGAATAGATGGAAGGTACCTTAGAGTGTATAGCAATTAGCGTGCTTAGGGATTTTCCTTCATCAGCCAACCCAAATTGGCACAAATGTGCAGGAAGTTCCATTTATGCACTATTCTCTAAAATAATTGGAAACGAAAAAGTGTTTCAGAATTTCTGCCTTGAATTCCAAGTCCCTCTCTTTTGTTGCTAGCTCAAGGTCTCTGGCATCTTTCCAAGTAGGAGCTGAGTGAACACTTTGGAGTTTTGCAAGCAGCAAGTGTGAAAACTAAGGGATGAGGGCCTTATCCAAAAGCCATTCTTTCCAGTTGGAATGGGACTTTTCCATTAGGCCAAAGTAATTAAGGCAATTGTACCACCCTGCAATGCCCATGCAACACTGGATCTTGTAACATGTAACGAAGTGCATTCATCTCTTCACAACAACATGTTTTGCCCCGTGTTAGACACCTGCAC